CATGAATGTATGTAATACTAGACAAAAAAGCGATCATAAACTTTTGAGACAAAAACCCCGACATTCATCGCCCATCAAAAGCTAATCTACCTCCATAACTTTGAGTAGCCATGAACCCGTCCAACTACACGATTATTGTCACAAGAGAATCGTCTTCATGGAAAACTTAATTAAGTCTTGTATATCAGCCGCCGTAGCCACTCATCGCAGATAACCACCCTGCAGACCTGCTAAAATTCGTATTCCTTCCTCCAATTAAAATTTCATTTTCACTTGGCACCAATAAACGCGCTCTTCCACGCCCCAACAGTAGATCCCGCAGAAGATATTTCGCATCTTACAGCGTAATTATGCGCGATAAATGTCGTGATATAATCGCGACAATTTAATCTCTTATTGGATAGGCCATTACGGACAATTAATTCCTCTTGCCGGCAGATCGAGCGGGCGCCGAGAAAACCTACAAGTTGCAAAGTTGCTCCAAATTGCATCGTAGACAATGATGGGCGAAGTTTAACGGAAGCAATTAGCAAATCACTGCAAAATACAAACAGGGAGCACGGCTGACCCGTAATTGTGTTATGTTCATCATTCCGATGGTGCCTACAAAACGAACAAAACGTCGCACACCTAGGATACACACAAAGAAACCCCACTTTGATGCAGCACTCTAGCTCCACAATTAAATAGTTCCCAACTTGCGGAATTAATCCCGGGAGATTGCGCTAACAAGATTCTTGCACCGTAAAAGGACGGAGTTGCTGGAAAGGGCTGGGCGGTGTTGCTTTTTGGGATGATTATTTATAATTGGAAAAGTTCGATCTGGGTTAGGCGCAATACGTGCACACTTGCGTGTTTGAATGTCGTTGAGGATTGTCCGACGTCAACCAAAATTGAGCTCGTTTGGGAAATGGTAAAGGAATATAAACACGGTCATAAAAGACCCGGGTTTTAGGCAAAATGGACTATTTTTATTTTTTAAAGCAGTTAATGAAATAGGTACCTAAAATTTAAGCGTAGTTAAAATGCTTAAACAAGCAACAGTTTTACCAACTTTGTGAAAAATTGGCAGTTAAGAAAAGTGAATATTACCTAATATTCAACATAAACACATGAAAATAATTTCAAAACATCGTTTTTACAAGCACTGATAATACACAATTTGCCAGATTCATCCAATAGTGAATTTAAATACGAACTTTGCAAAGTACTTTTGGGTTCAAATATTCTTTGAAATAAAATACAAAAGGCGAAATTCAATAATTTTTTCAAAAAATTGGTCAAAGTTCCACAAATCCTACTTCTTTGAAAAATTAAAAAAAAAATGTTTTACAAACTGTTACTTGTGATAGCCTCTATACACTAAAACAATATAGAAAAATAATACCCGTCACAGTGTAGGAAGCTAAATGGTATCCTATAAATCTGACGAACTATATTTTATTTTGGTTTGTCTACGACTTTTTTCAATGCCTATATATTTTTAGAATTCTTGTAGAGCTAGTTTTTCTGAATTCATTAACACATCACACTTTAAACACCAATATTCAGTCACCATCTCTGATCCGAACGCATTTTTACGCAAAAAAAGAAATTTTAGAAATATTAAGCAAGTCAAAAATGTGTCATTTTTCGATGCCAGAAAATCTAATTTGTATTTAATATTTATAATTTATAATATCGTGAATTTTGGAAAAGATTTACTTTAATTTGTACACGTTGTTTATCATTTATTTCACTTTTTATTTCTCGTTTAGACGGTAAAATATTGTTACGTTGCGTGGTAATTAAAATAGGCGTGAGTAAAACTCAACAATTTATTTCTGGGTAATACAAATTTATATGACAACAAAGCGAATATAATTCCGACTCAACTTAGACTCTAATACTCTCTCGTTTACTGGGCCTGACTGCTCCCGACTGGATAGTTCGCCATCACCGCTTCGAGCTCATTCTGGAGCCCTTCGCCGAGACTTTCGCAGAACCTCTTCTAGGCGCCTTTTTAGTCGATCGTCATCACCGATGATGAGTCACGGATCATCGCCATGCATACTGGAAAGCCCTCGAGAAAATCCATAGGCGTCGTACCGGGGCGGCATATGGGTTTATTAGCAATAATATTAATATCAAATTTTCCATACATTTTGTAAAAAGTTTTAGACCGTGTTCTCGTTGTGTTTTCTGTCGGGAGACGAATATATAGACAAAGTGTCATTTTGGGATAAAAACACCTTTTTTTTCTAATTTAAGGGGACGTAACTCCAAAATGGCATTAGACTCCCCATTACGGTTTAAAGTATTCGATGGCTTGGAACTTCCTAGTCCTACATGTGATACTCGATCTATTTACTTTGAAGAGAAGAATGTATAGAAAAGGGTCATTTTGAGACAAAAACATCTTTTTTTTCAAATTTAACGGAATATATATACAGGATGTTATTGAAAGGTACGTACAACAAAATGGACAGTTCGCGAAGTCTAAGAAGTCGGAAAAACTTATTTTGTGTTATCAAAATCATAAGGGGAAAATTAACCCTTATTCAACCTTTTTAGACGCTACTGAAGGATAAATAGGTAAAATTAATTTATTTTAGTAAATCCTAGCAACTGTAACAATAAAACTTTCGTCAAGACTAAAGGTTGCTATAGAAACGAAAGATGATCTTTTTATCAGAGGCGTACAACCAATTTGGACATAAATTTTAATAATTTTTATCTCAAAAAGGAGAACACTTTTACCTGAACTTTTTTTTAACTTTTAGCACCTATACTTCGAAACCAACTGCCGATTTTATTTTGTACGTACCTTTCAATAACAGGCTGTAACGTAGATGGCTGGATCGCAACCCTTGGAACACACGTTCCGGTCTTGTTTAATGAAACCAAAATCCCTAGAATCGATACTTTTGCCTTCATCTTCGTCTTCAGAAGTCGTTACAAAAATTTAAAGCCAAAGATTAAGCCCCACCCATACCTGGCCTGATCTAAATATGTTAGTAGTAATGAAGTTTTCATTTGCTGCCAGACCTAGGGGTGGAGCCTAATTGCAAAATCCATATTTCCCTACAACAGATTTCCATTTTAAACGTGTTTTACGTTTCTAAGAATGGGAAAGATGGGCTGGGTTATATTTTGCCTTTTTTTTTAATACAAGTACATAGTATTCTTTGAACAACACGATACTCAAAAACATCTTTTATTTCTTGTAAAGAAATAAGTATTTTGCATTTAAGGCTGTACGGCACCGCGAGAAAATTTCATCTCCGGGAAATATGCAACTTCTAAAACAACCCATGCTGCCACTCATCTCTAATTATAGGCCGCTTCCCCATCTACGCGTTTTTGCGAATCTGCGTACGCGTATCGTTGGCATTCGCAAGCTTGCATTTAAACATAGCTTCCCCATTGCGTGCGTATAAACGTAAAACGCGTAAAGGCGTAGCATAAAATATAAGGTAATATAACCTCAAAATATAACCAAGTTGTCATCAGATCTGTCATTACTTTCATATGTAATTCGAAATGGGGAAATATAATAAGAAAGTAGCAGTAGAGCTGTGCCAAGAACTCATCACGAAATTATGTTTTATATACCGAAAAAGGAAAAATAAAGTAAGGAAGATAGCATTACGAAAAAAAATTATTAAAGTGTACGCCTTGTATCTGGAAGCAAAGAAAGCGAATGAAAGACAGTTTTGGGTGCGACCTATTTTTACTGTAACAAACCGATTATTGCAAGGGGCCAGTGCAAATTTGTCACACACAATGAGAGATTCTGATCCGGAAAAATATTTCAATTTCTTTAGAATGACACCCGACATGTTTGATGTCTTACTTACATTGGTGGGAGCCAAAATAGAAAAAGAATTTGTCGTAAGGGAGCCCATTAGTGCTAAAACACGCTTGGAATTAACGTTACGATTTCTGGCGTCAGGAGACAGTATGACTTCCATCTCTTACCTGTTTTTAATAGGAATAAACACTGTGTCGAGAATTATTGCTGAAACATGTACAGCACTATGGGAAGTATTAAAAGATCAGGTACTGTTGATGCCCACAGAACAAAAGTGGCAAAGTATTGCACAGGAATTCCATGAAAAATGTAACTTTCCCCACTGTATTGGTACAATTGATGGTAAACATGTAGAAATTGAGGTAAAAACAATATGATACTTATAAACATTGAAATTGACAACATGAATTTTTCAGGCCCCGGCTAATTGCGGCTCTACATACTACAATTATAAAGGTCGTCATAGTATTGTCCTGTTAGCTGTTGTAGATGCATTTTCATGTTTTACCATAGTGGATATTGGTGCCACTGGTAGACAGAGTGATGGGGGGGTCTTTAGACACAGTAGGTTGGGACAGGGTTTAGACAACAACACATTGCAAGTGCCTTCACCTGATACCATTTATCAGGGTCCCATATTGCCATATGTATTAGTGGGGGATGAAGCTTTCGCACTTACAACTTACATGCTGCGGCCATACCCTAGGAGCGGACATTTAACTATTACGAAAAAAATATTTAATTATAGACTCAGTTCCGCGAGAAGAACGGTTGAATGTGCCTTTGGTATATTAGCATCACGATGGAGGATCTATCGCAAACCGATTATTGCATCTGTATCAACAGTGACAAAAATTGTTCAAGCCACTGTTTGCCTCCACAATTATATAATGAAAAGGGAACTGCAAATGGCCGCTTCTCAACGACAATATTCGAATGTAGCCCTAGAAGATTTAACAATTGATGCTTCATCAGCTTTGCAGAATTTACACAGAACCGGTAGCAACTTTCATTCACGTAATGCTGGAGTTATTAGAGATACATTTGCATCTTACTTTGAAAACAATTTTCCTGTCGTATGGCAGTGGGAGAAGGCCTTACAAAACGATTTTTAAAGTAAATAGGATGAAATAATATTTTATTTGTAATATATTGATATAAGCTATTGTTTATATGTCAATTTATTAAAAAAACAGTTTACAAAAACGGCTTATTATTTACGGCAAACTTTCCAGTTCGTCTTGCACTAACGTTAAAAATTGTATTTCTAGCCGGGCTCTGTTTCTGTATGGTAACTGGCGTAGTCCCTCGCCTAAGCGAAGAAGAAAACCATCAACAGGATCTAATTTGTCTTCGCTTTGTAAAACTTTCAATAAAGCTTGCTGTATATCATCTTCAGTTTTTTTTCTCTTAGATGTTGGAGTATGTTGCTCACTTGCTGATCTTTTTGTATGTTCGCTAGACCTTCCTGGAGTAGGCTCCCTCGAACCTCCTGGAGTAGGCTCCCTGGAACCCCTTGGTGTAGGCTCCCTAGAACCGCCTGGTTGCACTATATTCGAAATTGTTCTGTAATAAAGTAGTATATTAGAAATAAAAAAATACATATTACATTAATGACTTACGGCGCACGATCTAATACATCATTTAAAAACGTCATTGATGTATAGTGTTTAAACGATGGCCGCACGGACTCTTCACCTTCCGTTCCACTTGGTTTATATGCCATGACTTTTTTGCGGGCTCGTACATATTCATCGCGCAATTGTTTCCAACGTTTTTGTATGTAGTCTAATGAATATTGCAATCCTACAGTATTTTGTATTTCTGTCCAATAAACCTGCATCTTTAATTTAAGCCTTTCTTTTGTTGGGAGCCGATGGTCATACAATGGTGGTCTTTTTGCAACTTCACCAATTAAGACTTCGTCAAACGACGAGGGCGATGGAGTTTCCGCTCGAGTTTCATTAGCCTCTGCTTGTCTCTTCTCAATTATAGTTAATATATTGTTGTCGTCGGCAGCAAATACATGTTTTTCCGCGTCAAACCCTCGTTCATTAAAACACATATGTTCTGCAATATTTTCACACATAGTATCTAACAACCAGCTGCAATAGCCACATTTATATTGTATTCTCGCTTCAGCCATAATAACACGTCTTACACAGCATCTGTTGAACTAATAACACATTAGTGCACGTGCACATTACAAACATTATAAACTGCAAAGCATTTGAGGTTATGTTTGCATTGTTTGCAAACCATTCGAATTTGACCGCCGTAGCACCTCTTTTCTACGCGTAAAAGTTAAAGTAAAATCAACTCGAAGCGAAGTGACCTTGGATACGCGCGTACAAAATTTTCTTGGATTTCATTGGTCGAATGGAGATACGCGACATTCGCACTTCGCAAATACGCGTCCATGGGGAACTTACCTGAGGATTATGGTCGGAATTATGTATATGAACACGCTTTTTTTGTTATGTGCATTGGAACTAAAGATCTCATCAGTCTCTGACGATGATTTTATTAATTTATTTTAAAACACACATTTGGCTTTTTTTCATTTCTTAGGACAGTAAATTAGGTCAAACCACATATCAAAAATCTCTCGTTCAAGGGACTATCACTTTATGCTAAAAAAAAGGAGGTGCTATTGAAAAAAATTATGGACGACGCCATACATCTGTCAAATATAGCTCAAGAATTTTGAAATAAATGTTACAAAATGGCAATTTTTATATACTAATCGACGTGGTTTTGCGTTTTTACTTCCCGAGGGTAAGCTGAGAAAATAATAGTGTTTTCTTTCGTAGTAGATAAATATTTTAGTTCAGTACTCTGCTGTATCTGCAACCCGAGAAATACACTTTCCCAGCTGACAATAGGAGCAATAAAACTATTGCCAACGAAGCGAACAATTTTAACCCTTTGACAGTTTTCACTCTTATTTTTTAATTCCTGTTTCTACAAAAATTGTACTTATGTGTTGGGCATATTCTGTAAGTAGATAGAATAGAAAAGTAAAATTTGCAAAAATATTTTATTGTTGGTATCTTACTGCATTTCATAGTAATCTTGGGTTTTTCCGACCAAAAATCTTAGAAATTTAGGTAGGTACCTAGTTACCTCTCGGAATGTATTTTGAATGAAATTGGTCGAAGGTTTTTACGACAGAACCTCCCGCGCCTCTGAAATGCAATAAAACAAATGCAGCTTTTTCGAAAAATTATAAAATTTGATTATGCGAATTTGATTTATTTTATGAGAACATCTATAAGTTAAAATTTTTTCCAAAAATTCTGGATGTCTAGGGTGAAAATTCTACACGGATTCACACACCACAAGTGCAGGAGTATCTTATTTTATACAATTTAAAAAGAAATATTTTATAAATTTTGGAGATGACGTCATTCCAATCATGGAGGGGATGATTAGCCAAATTTTAGTTAGCGTTTAACCATCTATTATAAAATTAGAAAACCAAAATTTGGTACTTTATTCCTATGCGAAAGTACAGTAGTGATTATTGTGAGAGGATGTTTTGTGCCGTAATCAAAAGTTAGTACCCAATTTATTTTGAGCAGTGCTTTTTATTTCCCGAGCGTAGGCGAAGGAAGTATTGTAATCGACTCAGTCGGCAGACCCTCTACTTTTTCGTTTACTCTACCTTTCATGACCCCTAGAGTACGAAAAAATAAGTCTCCCGTTTCCGTTTGTCTGTCTGCCGTTCCGACTTTATATTAGTCAGATAATCTCCGAAAGTATTGGGCCGAATGTTTTCAAATTTTGTATTTATATTAGGAATATCATGCAGATGGTAAAACGCTAACCAAAATTTGTCTAATCATCCCCACCAATAATGTGATTCAAAAATTGCACGTAGTACTTAAATGGGTTTTAAATTGTATGAAATAACATAAACTAAAATAAAAAACTAATTTCAGAAATTATCAACATGCTTATTTCTACCGATACAAAAACAGAAAAAAATTCACAAAAAACACCTAAAACTGTAAAATCACGTCATCTTTGAAAATAGAAATAAATAGTAAACTACGACTGGGACTGCAATAAACGTTCAAAGTGTTCTCCGTTTACAATTTGGCAGTGCTGCAATCGATCAACAAAATGTCTTAATCAATTATGTGTGATTTTACAATATTAAGAAGTTTTTTGTGATTTTTTTCAATTTTTTTGTATGAATGTATAAACATGTTGATAATTTCTGAAAGTAGTTTTTTCTTCTGTTTTAGAAAATGTCAAAAAAAGTCAAGGTGTTCCATTAAAAAAATAAAAAGTAGACGGCCCTGTCTGTCAAACCGAGAGCGATAAAAAAAGAAATAATGTTGTAATCAACTCGCCATGTTTAACTATATATCCAAAGCAAAATTTCAGAAAGAAAGCTTTTCAAATAACAAAGTTATTCGAATTGTCGTCGAATTGTTGACATAGGTCATTTGTTGAACAGTTTAAAGAATATTGTGGTTAAAACTTGTTCATGCACTTTTGCTGATGTTAACATAACTAATGAAACACGTTTTGGTTTCAAAAGCATTTTTATCTACAAATGTAAGATGTGTGGTTTGGTAGAAAAATTTAGCACAGAAAGTTGCGACACAGCATAGATAACAATAAGTAGAGACAGCTCGTGTCGGCGCCTTTGTTCTTTCTGACCCGAATTTTAAGCCGTCATGGGTGGTCGTTGCCTAAACTATTCCTAGATGTCGCCACCCAATTTAAAAAGTATCACTTCATTTACAATTTCAAAAATTGATTCGTGTACGCAATTTATTGCAAACTGTCTAGTTTGCTCAAATCGTATAATCGTGAATCGCAATAAGAAAAAAGAAAAGTCCATATTTAATTTATAAACACGATGATTTGTTACAATTTTTATTTTATTCATAACCACCGTTGTTGTTCGTTTGCGACGACTTTTTAAACAAAAAATGTGTTATGTTTACTATCTTTTCCAAGAATTCCAAACACGAGGGAGAGAATAAGGCGCACAACAGGAATCCGGTATGAAAATTTATCGGACAAAGATTTTACCTTTTATTGTGAAAATTACATTTTTATACTATTTGTACAATTCTACCGGAAAAGCAGTCTTAAACAAGCAAAACTGGCAAAAATATTGTAACAAAACTGCCAAATTTCAAATATTTTAGACGTCAGTTGGGCGCCCTCATTCGGTCATAATGCGAACGACCGCCCACGAAAACGGGTCACGAAAAACGGCGAGCCGTCTCTACTGATTGATATCTATGCTGTGGTTGCGATATAATTATTATAAAAAAAAGTAGAAAATTTAAAAGCAGATATTTTAAACGGTCCTGCTCACATTTTTGGCGATCACTCCAGTTGCGCCACACAATATTATTGTGTCCAAAATTTGGACAAACTGAAAATCCAAAGTCCAAGGGCAACTACATATAAGGCGTCGTCAAAAATGTTATTCTATTGTGGATACTGAATGTGATCTACAATACCGAATAATTGAAAGAGATGATACGTTTTGGCATGAAAAAATGGTATCTCACTTAGTACAGTTTTACTTATATGCAATGTTACCCGAAATCGTTGATTCCGGATGTGGTCGCTATCTACCGGTAAGAAGAAAATATATTAAAAAAAAGTTTCCTAAAATTGAATAAATTCAAAAGTGGTGTTTAAAGCCAAAGCCTTTCATGTCTTCAATTTCTTGAAACAAAAATCTCACTGTCGGGCGACTCTACCCACCGCACTAATACGCTTAACCGCCCGCTGTGGAGGGTGGGTCAAAACTTTTTAGGGTATTGGATGTATTATTGATTGCCTATTTTCTGAAATTCTTTGATTTCGTTTTTTTCATTTATCACACAACTTTTAGCAAATAACAACTGATTAAAGTTATACTCCAGTACTGTTTTTTTTTATCTATCGATGGGTCATAAAATTCCCTAGAAAAAAATATGTTATAACGCCCAAAAAGGTAATCAAAGTTTCGATTTTTTTTTCTAATAACCTGATGCATTAATTGTCATAATAAAATTATTCTGCCCTACATTTATACACTGGCTATTCTAAAAAAAATCAGGATCGCTTCAAATTCGATATTGTTCGAATGAGAAATCATTAAAGTTTGCATGTATTTGGTATAATGCTTGATACTGGAGACGTACAGCCTTAAGCTTGGTTCACGGCGAATAAAAAAAAATCTTCATAATTGAGATAAGGCGGGTGGGCGGCCTTACATTTTACCTTTTTGTTTTAATATGTGTCGACTTCTTTTCACAACATAAAATTTAAAATGGAAAACTGATATAAGGAAATATCGATTTTGCAATTAGGCTTCGCTCCATAATCGCAAAATCAATATTTCCTTGAAAAAATGTACCATTTTGACCATGTTATATTAATAAAAAAAAACAGAATATAAGAGAGCAGCGAAGACAGGCGGTTTCTTAACTGTGGAGCCCGCCACCTATTGAGCATTTACGTAACAACAAATAACATTGTAGCTTATGGAAGAAGATAAGTATATAGTATAACAAGGGTTGTATTAATTTCATGGTTTAAATATACATTCCGTGATAAGTGTGATGAATTCTCTGTATTAATGCCTTTATCATATTGTAACCATTCCCACTGCAGTGCTTTAATTTGTTATTCCTAATCCACTGTGTCACTCAATAATTTATTTCTCCTGTTCTTACGTAAGGAAACCTATAAGAGAGTAATATGATCTTCTACAATGTTCAAGGTGTCTTTGATAAAAATTTCCAGACAAACTAAATTGGAAGTTTTAAATGCAACCCGTGTTTCTCCTTATGGCCAAAATACACGTAGTCGGAATAACCTTAAACTGAAGTAGATAAACATTATTATTTGCGATATACTCCTATTACTCGTACTGATTTCTAAAACCAAATTATGACAACCACCAAAGCATTGACTTGACAGACGTAAATGTAGAAACGTTTAATAAGCATATTTTTTTAGTGAATCAAGAGCATAACCATTCTAAATTATTAATTCTTCTAACCTGAATGTATACTCGTACTAACTGAATGTAAAAATTATGTGTCATATATTTTCCACTAACTGGAAAAATTCAAACTGATAAAAAAATGCACAAATAGGTATGTGCCTACAATCCACCAATACCGGAATTTACTTATCAAGTAGGTATAGATTTGAATTATAGTGTAATCTTGTACCACTTTAACCTGAAATAAATCTTTGTTTTCGCGGATTTATATTAAATTAAATTTTGAATGAATCTGTCATTTGTTTCATTCCACGCATACCAACAAGCATTTGTTGCGTGTTGATAATGAAAACGGTTCGCTAAGTTTTGATATATGAATAGATTATCATTTAATTAGCATCTAAAACCGGTAAAAACTGATCTCACAACTCATTGCGTTTTTTTCATGTTTATTAACAAAAAATACTGTGGCTACCGGCAAAACTGCTTTCTTTAATTTTTTCATATACCGTAGGTCGATGTTTACATTGTACAATGCAGGATTTTTTATATCATATGCGGTTTAAATTATCCTCCCCATTGTTTCTCCTAATGCTCCATTAGATTTTCAATTAATATCGATTTTTTTGTACATTATGAAAGGCAGATTTAAATTTAACTTCGCCGCGAGATAGAAATAACATTTATAATAATAATTTTTCTACCGCCCACGTTTTTTGGTTTTCTAATAGAGCTATTAACGCACGCAAATGACGTCACAGCAGTTCGTTAATAGCGGAAAGGCGTTCTTTAATAGATCTGGTGTAATTTAGATCGGTAAGATTGGTAGCCATGACGAGAAATGTCAGGTGAATGTCAGTGGCACGTTTCCGGACGCATAACTTCTTCGCAAGACATTTTAACCAATTTTAAATTACGAAAACTCGAATTGATTCGAATTACAATTGTTGTTGTGAAAATTCGAACCTCAAATATTTCGTGGTTAGTGTCAGACCAACCCATCACCAACCACGACAAAAGTCCCCAGATTAAAAAAAATGCAAATTTCAATTAAATTTTGGGAAAAAACTTGTGCGGTAGAAAAAATAGTATAAATAACTCGTTCATAAGGCCATTGAGGCACTCATCCTTTATATAACTCGCGGCTTCGCCGCTCGTTCTATAAACTTGGATTCGTGCCTCAATATTTGCCTTATGAAACTCGTTCTTTAATATACTATTATAATACAATATAATAAAACATGTGGGTGTTCATATGTTGTCACTATTTTTATTTACACCTGCTCCTTTTTCTTATTGGAAGGCTTAATTTTTATGTCTCAGAAGTCATACACGTCTACAGTTATTATTATTTACCTACACTTATCACACGAGATTTATTACATTGCATAAAATATGTTGTCAGGTTATTACTTTTTTTGCAATTATATTTCTCTTCCTATATTATCATACCTGTTTATTTGCATGTAAGTGAGACAAGTTGTTGTTCATTTTTTGCTATACTATGCCCCAATGACTTTTTTGAGGTATGACGTTCTATGATAATAATTACTCTGTAATATATTACAGGAAAATGACGCACGTTTCAGCTCCTCCTTTGTTAAATATTCAATTTTTTGCAGCCTGTGGGCTTTTTTTTGTGAACGTTAGATTAATTGTTATTGCTCTGTTTTAAGAATCTGCAGTTTATTTTTATATACATATACCAAATGTCCCAACGATTAGGTGGCACTTTTATATTAAAAAAATTGCAACATCTCCATTTTTAAAGAAATTGCATTGGCAGAAAATTTTCAGTTATATTGTCTTGTCACACGAATAAAAAATTAATCAAAGTCTAGTGGTGTTTATACAGGGCGTAAATTTGGAAATGATTCATTTTCTTGCCTCTAACGAAGCTTTATTTGACACCAGATTTGTTGAGGTTTATCGTAAAACAACATTTTTTTGTAAAATATACAGAATATTCCATTATTCAAATGAAATAAATATGTTTCAACTTAACGGGCAATTTTTTCAGTAATACGAAAAATCCGAACACCTCGTTTCGTATCTCATCTAAATTAAAAGTGATGTGGTTGAGACAAGTGAATATGAGTTTCACCACTTCTCTGTTAGAGATAATATTACAAGGTTTATTGGAAGCAATTAACAAATCACCTTCATCTTTCTCATGATGTGCACAAAAGAAACCAAACATCGTACACCTAGAATGCATACAAAGAAACCATAGTTTGCAGCACTGCGGTGGGTGCACAATGTTGCAACTCTCAACCTGCGGAATTAATTTCACAACATTACGTTAACTAAGTATATTCTCACACTGTAAAAGAACAGAACTGCCACAAACAGCAAAACGATTTTGTTTTTTAGTATAATACTAGTAATTCAAACGTAATGCACTTTTTGTTTGTCTACTTATTCATTCAGATAATGATTTGACCTAAAACTCAGCTTATTTTAAAAGTCTAAACCGGAACATTACCAGTATTAATTTTTTTTTTTTCGAGAAGTTAATGTAGATCTAGTACAGTCTGAATAAATAGTAAGAACGAAAAACAAAATGCTTTTTTATTAATCAAGATGCACCAATTACCACAATTTACTGTTGAAGCCTCATTCCGTTTAAAGAAATTGCAAAATTATATTGCATTTTAAAACAAAACAGATGAAGTATTTTAGCAGAGACAACTTAAATTTGGTTTAACGACATTGTATTAAATGTAATCTTGTTTAACAGAAAAGAAACGATAAATTTACTGTTTCTGGATAAACGAATTTAGCGTTATTATAGTGCAATATAGCGTATTGTTCGTGAATATTCAGATTACTAAATTTTAGACTTTATTCAAACCCGCAGTGGAACTTGAAGTGTGGACTGGATGGATAAAATAAAGTTTATCAATTTACCAGCTTGCATATCCTTGTAATATAATTTACATTTCCAAACTAGTTTCGTGAAATTTATGCACATTCTCAGTGCATTTTATGTATGCTAAGCAAACCACGTGTTGAGGTTAGATCAAGATTTTCTTTTAGTACTATGCATGCACTTCACATTATTTGAAATGGTATATCGCTTATTGAAAAATATTCTCATTTTTAGTTCCCAAGCGTAAGCTAAATCGATATTGATTAGACAGATAATCTCCGAAACCCCTAAACCGATTGGTGTCAAATTTTATATGTGTATTTTACATGTACTTTAGAAACATCGTATAGACTGCAAAACGTCAACCAAAATTTATCTTATCATCTCCCCCAACAATGTGATGACGCCGCATCAAAATTTGCATAATAAATGTTATTTAAATTTCATAAAATAACAAACTTTTCTACTTGCGATTTATGAATCCGCTTTTATTTTTCACTCTAGACATCATATTTTTCGCTTACGCTCAGGAAGTATTGTAATCGATTCCGTCGGCCTACTCTCTACTTTTACGTTTTCTCGACCTTTTATGACCCCTAGAGTACGAAAAAATAGGTCTCCCGTTTCCGTCTGTCCGTCTGTCTGCTGTCACGGATTTTTATGACACAGATAATCTCCGAAAGTCCTGGGCCGATTGTTGTCAAATTTTGTGTTTGTATTAGGAATATCATCTAGATGGTAAAACGTTAACCAAAATTTTTCTGATCTTCCCCACCAATAATGTGATGACGTCACTTCAAAATTGTACTTAGTAAATGGGTTTAAAATAGTATGAAATAACATAATCCTACACATGTAGTTTACGACTCCGTATTGAGTTTTTACCAGAAACGTTCAGATTTTTGGAAAAAAAATCAAAATTCTTGCAGATGTTTTAAAGTTATGATAAACACGATAAATTTTTAATCAAAATATATTTACTCTTGTATTTGTTTTACTGTTTGTTTTTTTTTTGTTTTTAAAGAAGTAGGATTTGTGGCAGTATACTTCGAGAACGACGGAAGTCCTGTCTTCGACCAATTTTTTTCTTTTGGAAACGAGATCATTTAATTTCGTGTCGCACCTGTTCTGGTAGCACCAGCCAAATTAAATCACCCAGTATATAAATGTTTTAGAACAGGAAAACAAATGAAATGATAATTAAAAACATATTTTTGTTCTGCACACTTTCAACAATAAATCATTTGAGAGAATTTAATCTTCAACTTTTTACACAAACCTAACAAACAGGTATTTAAACAAATAAATGAAGTACCTGCTCCATATTTTAATATATTTAAATATTGTTGATACCATAACCCGGAGTCCAGTTTTGACCTTGCCCATACTAATTAAATTTTTAAAGAACGTCAGCAACTCGTTCACTGAAACGTGACCAACAAAAACACGAGTTTGCATCGAGAGCTCAATATAAAAGAATCCAAATTCCTGCTATTTTCCAGATCGTTACCATGAAACCTTTAATAGTGTTGCTTGCGATATGTTATTTCGCCGACTGTGTTCAACTACGTATGTGATGGATTGAAATACACCCAAAAATTATTTCTTTCTTTATTTAGCGCCAAATTTTACGAAATGTAACCGAAAAGACCCAGACTGGAAGGAGTGTGTGCTTAAAGCGGCAATTGATGGAGCACCACAATTAAAGCAGCCGTTCCCGGAACTGAATATACCAAACTTAGAACCATTTCTTATACCAGAACTGACCATCGCTGGATCCGGTGCAGTCCAGGTAACGCAGCATTTCAAAAATAGTCGGTTGTACGGGATAACTAACGTGGACATAAAAAAACTTGAGTAAGTAATACAGAAGCTCTAAAAAACAGAAAAAAAGATAATTTCAGCTTCGATTTTGACAAGAAAGTCATAGAACTTGAAGGCACTTTTCCCGAACTGAGAATACCGGGCGAATACAAGTTTGACGGGAGAATTCTTCTGTTGCCAATAGTGGGTGAAGGCACCGGAGAAACTACATTGAGTACGTTCGTCAAAAAATGTAAACAAATTTAACATCTTTGTTTTAGAAAATTTGCACGTGAAAACTACCCTCAACTTCGAAGAAATCAAAAAAAAGAGGAAAACTTTCATCAACGTTGTTTCCGGTAAACTGAAGATGGTTCCGGGTTTCATACATTTTAGGTTTGACAATCTTTTTAATGGTGATAAGAGACTGGGTGATAACGTTAACCAAGTCATGAATGACAACTGGGAGGCTATTTTTAAAGATATCGAGGAGAGTTATTCTGAACTAATAGTACAGGTGTTAACGAATTTAGTTAACCGTTTCTTTTCGAAAGTTTCGGTGGAGGAAGCTTTTGAGTAGATTTGAGTCACTGTAGTTTTTTGAAATAGATTTTGTTCAATATATGTAAGTGTTTTTAATGCCATGAAAAAGACCCTTGTTTATAAAATCCTTAATCCTAGAAATCAGTGTCGTGCAATAAGACAACAACTTAAATAAAACAAATCATATCATTATATTTCTAGAGACTTAAAAAACAACGTACACGTTTTTAAAAACAAAAAGACTTAAATTTTGGAGTGGCTAGTAATGAAATTAAATATACAGTTTTTTGCTTATGTAATCGACGAAACATTTATATTTAATACGTCCACGGAAAGATCCAAAATAAATAATTTTAATATTAATGATAATTTGGCAACACCTTCACTAGAAACATTAATTATTATTTACTACAATAAGAAAACCTTGAAATAGTTTTGTTTCGTATCTCAACAGAATTTATTATCGGAAAATTTTGTGATGCCATTAAAACAACGTCAAGTAATTGTTATTTTTCACTTACACAAGATTCACTGAAGTCCACAACAAAACAAAATCGTAATTTTTATTGCACGTTTATGTCCAGGCATAAACGTGTCATAAATACAATAGCAATACATTATTTATCCTCATTTTGTATATATTCTGTTAAAGTGTCAAATATAGATATTCCATCAATTTTTTCAACACCCTATATTTTATTACTGCATCTTATTCTATTTTTGTTCTTTCTTTTTTTTGCTGTATTTAAAGTTGATAGTTACTGCGATTTTTTACTTTTTTAAGAGTCACATAGACATTAGAAAAATGAGGACAAAAATAGAGTAAGATACAATAATAAAACAAATTTTAAAATATATTTTAAAAAAGTGAAATATCGATATTTGAAAATTGTACAGTTTTAGATTTTCTTATATAAACACTATGTATATTGAAATTTGATTTAGTTGATACCACAACAAAGAGCGTACCTTTATTTGTCCTTTTACAAAATATTGTTAAGTCTTTAAAAATAACTTTGTTGCGATTTTTTTAACCCTACCATTGCCAAAAAATTTCAAGGAAGTTGGAATAACGTGGCAACATCGCATCCAAATTTCAAAACAAAACTGCGGTTGTAAATCCTAAGAAAAGATCAGTTAAAATATGTAAAACTATATGTTTCATTAAAAAACTAAATTGTGTGTTACGCCTGAAACACAAACACTGTGTATTGTTAAAAATAATTCTGCAGTGTAGTTCTCAAAAAACCGTACAATTTTGGTCTTTGGCCTTTTTTCTATCTCTAATAAATTCATGATGTTATTAAATTTGGATTTTTTTTTAAATGTGTGTACTCAAGGGAAAAAATTAAGGTGGATTCATAAACTACAAGTACAGGAGTATATTATTTTGTACAATTTTAACAGCACTTATTACAAAAAATGTAAAATTACGTTATCAAGGTGTCAGTAGGAATGATTACACAAATTTTGATTAGAGCTTTACCTTCTATGACACTAACATGTACATATAAAATCGGTCCGGTAGTTTCAGAGATTATTTCAAAAAAATAACGATTTCCCATATTCGCAATAACGTTAAAACATGTACAAAATTTCAGAGCAATAGATTTTGTTGATTCTTAGGTATAAATTTCACGCTTTTGTTGTACCATTTTGATTTTTTTTCCAGAACTAATTTTAATGTTTTGCCTACAAGTTTTTATATAATTATGTACTTAATTTTGTTATTGAGAAAGAAATAAATAACACATGAAGCTAAAATATACTCTAGAACAGAAAAAAATATATAGAAATATTTAAATTTTATTTGAAATAAACATTTCGATAAAGAATCCCTTACTTTTTGAAATAAAGAAAATAAAAATATACAAAGCTTAATTAATTTCTCCCTTTATAACTAGAAGTTTGTAACAAAAACGAAGGCAAACCGTTAAGTAATGCCTACATTATATTATAACAACTAATTTTCACATATTGCATTTTTAAGCCAAAATCTTTAAAAATGGCTCTCCAACGAATAAATAAAGTTGCAAAGGAAACATGATATCAGTTTCCATTAGAGAATGATTTAAATATTTAATATTATAAAAAATGTGTGTACATATATGAAAGCTCTTTGAATATCGGGAAAGCATAAACAATGCTCCATTATATTTCAAACCAGAAACATCAAAATCGAAACAAAGTAAATAGGACTTTTATTAAATCTTTTAAAGGTACAAATCGAGAGTACAAAAATATTCACTAATAAATTCCCTTCGTACAGATTACTTCTACGTGCGCACAACTCGGCCATCCTACAGAATTTTTTGACACAGGTAACACCAAGATTTAAGTACCTAACTAAGCACACATGAAAGTTTTTAAGAACGTTTCGCAATTATTTTGCGAAACATTGAAATTTTCACTCAATGAATAACATCCATTATGATACCATACTAAACATTTATAATTCAATATTTTATCTACAAGAGTCTTATATACTTAGTTTGTGCTAAAATAGAAAGGCACCATCATAGGTTATAGTTCGTTACAGTCAATAAGGTTAATCAACGAGATGAATGCCGAGTTGAATAGTAAGGTGAGTAACAAAACACTGGTTTGAAACGTATCGTACAAACCATCTTTTACAATTTTCACATGTAGCTAAAAATTCAAACAAAATTGATTGCTGATATATATTTTTTGTATAAAGCTCAATTGATTGTGTGGACTAACAAATGTCTCTGACTTTCAGTTGTGTTGCTAAGGGAATGTATAGATAAACAAACCGAAAGAACATTATTCATAATTATTCCCATCGGATGCGGAAGCGGCAGCAGAAGCTACAATTTCAACTTTGTTAAAGTGAACCGATATTTATATGAATTTTATTGCCGCGCACTTTATTTAACTTTTTTGGTAGTTTATGGCATCCCTAATCTCCACTCACTAGGGAACTGTCAACCAAAACAGGCTGTATGTTGCTTTCCAAGGGCAGAATTTAATGTGCGTTCGCACAGCCGATTTCCGCATCACAAAGTTTTCAACACCACCTTATTCAATTTTTTACAACGAAAAACCTTTTTGAGATTCGTTTGCAGACAAGTATGTGTCTAAATGTAAATGGAGGGAGAATGCTTCATTAACTGAAAATACATATGTAATTATAACAAGTACTTACTATGAGATTAACATATACTCTGTGCCAAAGGTGACTAAAAATATCTTCACAGCGTGTTTTGGGTGTATGTAACTACAAAGTTTTGTTCCTTTATTAGCATATTAGGTTTGTTTTGACTTTTGGTTAGGTCATTTATACGTAAATTTGAATCTCCTTTACATTTAAATAATGTCTGACTTATTCTGTGTGTTTTTTGTACTGAATTTTACATCACGGTTAAAGTCCCTTGACAATATTATTATTTATACAGGGTGGTTTCGAAATGCGTGCAATAAAAAAAATGGGAATAGCTCACAATAAGATTTATTGCACTGTGTAAAATTCACGTTCCTAAGCCGTAGCAATGTGTAGAAAAACATATTTTAAATTATATATCAATTGTTATGGCAGTTAGTGTTCTTGATCTACCATAACCACTACAATGAACGGCACAGAACGATTAGTCTTAAGAACCAAAAAAATCGCACACTGATAAGCAACGTGCAAAAAAAACGATAAAGGCCAGTCATGGATCAGTTGATTGTCGTCGTATGTTCAGTTAACGTCTTTGTCAATGGTGAATTTTTCCAATTCAAAACGTGTCGACATGGTAACGCTTTATGGTAAGTAGAAACGGCCCACTAGCTTGGCCTCCGCGTTCGCCCGATCTCAATCCGTGTGATTTTTGTGTTTGGAGTTGGATGAAACAGTTACTTAGTTTATGGAAATAGTGTCCAAAAACTATCGAGGATCTTCAACAACGAGTGGAAGTGACAGCCGCTACAGTTCGTGGAACTCCCGGTGATTTTTTACGTGTCCTTGCAAACATGTTGCGACGTGCTGAAGCCTGTATTGCTAATCGAGGACAACATTTTCAACATTTATTGTAAAAAGGTAATAGCATTCTAAGTTGCTCTTATTTTTGTTCTAATAAACAAAGTAAAATCTTTGTGACAAGGACCAAACATCCGTCAGAATAAAAAGTCGATCGCCATGAAGCATTACCAAAACTTATAACTACTCTCTACTACTTATAACTGAAAACCTACTGTTACAAGGTGGATATATACAGGGTGTTATTGAAAGGTACGTACAAAAAAATTGACAGTTCTTCGCTAAGTCTAAGAAGTTGGAAAAACTTATTTTGTGTTATCAAAATTATAAGGGGAAAATTAACCCTTATCCAACCTTTTTAGACGCTACTGAAAAATAAATAGGTAAAATTAGTATATTTTAGTAAACCCTAGCAACTACAACAATAATAAAAAAATAAGAGACCCTTTTGCTTTGTCTAAAGAATTGAAAATCCTAGCAACTGTATCAATAGTAAAAAAATAAGAAGCTCTTTTACTTTGTATAAAGAATTGAAAAACAGGTTTTTTTTAATATTTTAAAAGCAATACAGAGTAAGTAAAAAGTCGAAAAATATGAAAACTGGTAAAAACCGATTGAAAAATACATACAATACAATACGACAACAGCATAAAATTAAAATTAACGAATTAAAGCAATTGCTCAAAATGACGGCCTTCATTGGCAAGACATCCCTCAGCACGGCGAATTAATGACGGCTGTAATCGGGCTATCATGTCAGGATTTCTCCTAATCTCCGCTGCAGCATTTTGGATCCGATTTATTAGTTCTTGCACTGTATTTACGGGAGTTTTATATACCAATTGTTTTAAATGTCCCCACAAGAAAAAATCGCATGGATTAAGGTCCGGAGAGCGAGGTGGCCATAACACTGGTCCATTCCTTCCTATCCAGTGTCTTGGAAAATGTTGGTCAAACCATCTCCGCACTTCTCGTCATCTAAAAGATTTGGCAAATGTTCATTGAGAAATTGCAAATATGCTACTGCTGTTAAGCGAGGGGGTAAAATGTAAGGGCCTACCAAATTATTGCCAACTATTCCGGCCCATACATTTACACTAAA